AGTTGTAAACAAACATATTTGGCTGACCAGTTATAGCTTCCCATAGTTAAAATTAAGAGTAAAAGATTTTATAAATAGTGAAATATTCCATTTCTTTAATGTGCATTTGAATGTTATGAATTAAAAGTATATTTTATTGCAGACCATTTTTGCAGTTTGCCACAACTCACAACCTGATGTTACATCAACGCCTTTATCCTCACAGGTAGATATTCATTTTTTTAATTTTCTGATTTGATGATTACCCTCATCAATGTACTTTTTATGCTTCTTGAATATTTGTCATTGTTTCACACACTAAAAAAGAATACTGATGTTGATTTTTATTTTATTTTTTAGGCACAAAACTATGATGTACAAATGTTTGTCTCCGGTTACTTCCCTTGGATCGCGTGCAAAGTAACTTTCAGTCAACATTTATTTTATATATGATCTTCATTAACTCAAAACACTTTTTAATTGGTCACATAGTAATAGTAAGCTTGCTCATATCCAGATGTACACAGAAATAAACTTTTTTTTAAAGAATGGGATACTGAAGCAAAACTTAGTCTAATATCTTTAGTTAGCATTAAACATTTTATTATGATGTTCTAATGGCAAGTAAATTGTAATAAATAATTTTAAAAGAACTATTCTTCTTTTCAGGATGGTATACAATAATCTTGCTAATAGTGTGAGTAATCTCTCAAAGTTTGAAAATGAGGTAAGTGTCACTCTCATAGTTAACATTAAGTACAAATTTGTACGTTAGGTTAAGAGGAAAAAAAATTATGCTTTTTAGAACTAGATATTCTTAAATTAATGTTTTAAATTTTTGCAAATAATCTCTCTCTCTCTCTCTCTCTCTCTCTATATATATATATATATATATATATATATATAATTTTTATCATAAATGATAAGCATCTTTTATTTTAATTTTTAATAAAAAAAATAATTTTATTTTGTATGAATTTATTTTCTATATAATTTTGTAATACAGCTGAGATTAAGTTTTTAAAAATAAAACTTTTTGATAAAATAGTGAATTTTCTAAAATCATTAAATTTTCTTATGCAAAAGGGGCAAACATTAGAAAATTAAATTCCTAAGAATTAAATCTAAAAATTAGAGTAAAATTAAATATTAACTTTATATGCCAGACTAAGGTGAATGCTTTCTCAATTTGTAACTTTTTATAATAAAAAAATAATACTTGTTTATTTGTTAAAAATGAAAAAAAACATGCAGTCCATTGGAGTTTTATAGAGAGGTATCTTCATCACATGACCAGTCACTATGGAATTGCTAATTTTGGGATTTGTTTTCTCAATGTATATAGAATTGTTGCGCAAATTTGTAAAGTTACTGTCAGTTGGTTTTAAAACAATTGATATCTATTTTATAGACTACTACAATTTTTATTTTCTATCTTCATATAATTCTGTAAGTATATGAGAGTCTGTCAAAAATAATGCCTCTTTTAATTTAATATTAAAAGTATCAGAATTCTAGAAAACTTTGTGGAGTTATCTTCTTTTCTCCTATTTATCTCATGTTAAAAACAATGGGCTTTCATAGAATTTTTGTTTTTTGAAGGAGAAACTACTGCCACATTTACAGCAAATACTGCACTTGATGTAAGTACAATAAGTAAGGAGATGGGTTCATAGAGAGAAGAAACTGATCTTAGTGACAGACACCACAATGTCAGGCCAGGCACTGTTGTGAATAAAGACACAGCCAAACAAATCAATGCTCTCATTATAGCTGACAGAAGGTTCCCACTTTAAAGGCCAGAGAGCCAAAAAGATCAATGGTACCAACTAGACCCACCCAAAAAGTAGTAGTTTAAAGCAGCACATTCTGCAGGAAAAGTGATGGCTATTGTGTTTTGGCACCAGAAGAGAATCATATTGTTTGAGTTTTTGCCCAATGGTACACTTTCAATTCTTACTGATATGTGAGCACGTTGTCAAAACTCAGGGTAAGTTTTCTTCATTTTTAATGATGAATGATGAGCTTTTGTAGCATGACAAACTTGCTACATCAACCCTAGAGTACTGCCTTGACACTGTCAAATTATCATATTTAAGCTCATGAAGCAAGTACTCAGAATACTCAAATGGTGAAGAGGTGAAAAAGGTAACTCATTACCAAGAAATTTCTACAATATATCCATACTCATATTTAAAGGTAAACTATCGCAACTGAGAAGGAATTAAACTGTGGAGGACTAAATTGGAGATCCTGATCTTTATTCTGGTGTGCTTTGCATGTTTCTACTATTAAATCCATTTAATTAAAGAAAAATAGGCATTACTTTTTGACCAACTCTTGTATATTTATTGAACATTTTAGATTTTTATTATTCTTGTTTAGAAGATAATCAAATATGAAAACTGATCCCTAAACTGGAATATTCCTTTCCATTTTATTATTATTTTCAATTAAATAAATTATCTTTGCAACAGATATTAAAAAGAAATTAAAATGCTATGAAATTCATTGATATTTATTACAATTTTCTTATTAAATATTTGCTGATAATTTTCAAGAGCAAAATATTTATTCATTTTTACTGATTATATTGTCCTTTTGGAATTGTAGAGGTCATTTCTGAAATCATCATCTTGATATTTTTCTTTAGACAATATTTTTTATTCAATGAAATTCCACACATGTAGTAATCTCAAGCCACTCTTTAGTGAGAGTTTGTCCCTGCAAAATAATATTATATATGATTTTATACTTTTTAAGAATAGCTGATGAGAGATATTTTAAATCTCATCAGCTATTAAAAGAGAATTCATTCTAAAAAGATTTCAAATTTAAAAAAAAATTTTGTTTCTGCAGCATAACATTAATTTTCCAAATATTGAGCCCCTGATCTCTTTTGTAATTTACTGTAAATTTAGAAACTAAAAAAAAAAAGATTATTTTCTCATTTGATAATAAAAATTTAAGCAACTGAGAGAATTGATATATTACCACCTGCTATAATTTTATTTTGCAGGTATATTTTTTAATAACTTGTAAATAAAAACAAGTTATATATTTAAAAATGCTGTAATTACATTTAGTCTTTAAAGAAGTGGGCAAAGAATTATGAAATGTCTGGTGATGCATTAAAACAAGTAAAGTAATCTTAGTAAGATTTGATTTGTTATTATCTGCTGTCATCTCAAAGAATATATTTAGAAATGATCATTAGCAAAATTAGTGATACTTTCTTTGTTAATCAAATATTTAATTGCAAATGTATGCTTGAAAAATGTCATCCTTTATTAATTTCATTTACATATTAATTATGTTTGAATATGCTTATCATATATAGAAATAGGAGAATATAGTGAGGCTATATTGCAAACCCATCATTAGTGTTTATGTTTGATTTTGTAACCACATTAAAAAAATGATTAAAACATCAAGACATATCTTGATATAAAATCATTGTCCTGAGCACAAATGTGTTTGTGTTATGATAACCAATAATAGAAACTGTTATGATGTTGATTTGGGGTTAGTAGAGACAAACGCCAAATAACACGTAACAATAAAAAGGGTTTTAATAGGTTGGTAAAAAGGTACAGAAATCGCCTAGCTCAGCTAAGAACTTCTCTGTCTATCTGTCTTCTCCCATGTCAACTGACATGCCACTATTTAAAGTCTTTGTTCACAGACGCAGACAAGTTCATCTTCAAGAGGGGTGGTAGGTTTCCGACACAACAGAAACTAACCTACATTTTCAATAACCAGCTGAATACTGTATATTTATTAATTAACTGATATAACAGAATTCAAATTGAAAAATTATCTTTGAACAGTCAGATATCAGTTTACCTGGAAAGAAACAATTGCAGTTATTAATAAGAAGAGTTGAAATTAATGCATGTAAGATTTCACAGCTTTAGCATTACCCCTTCATAGTCAGCCTATGAACTTTTCACCCTTATATTAATGAAGCTTTATCTTACGTGAATTATTCATGAGTGAATTAATAAAAGAAAAAACTCATTATTTCTTGTTTAAATTACTCAGTCCTAGGATTCTGTAAAATATTTATGAAGATATGAAATAGCTATTATTTCATTGTATTTGGTGCTTTCATTTTATTCCCTACAAAATCAAATATAACAAAATAATTGCTGAACTCCGACATTACAATATCACTTAAACATTTATCATCATAGAATATAATCAAAAATCATTAAGACTGTTAGTCATTTGCATATAAGACTAAAATTGAATGTTTATTTTTATATTGGATATATTTGGCTCACTAAATGGAAGAAAAGGAAATAAATATTTTTTAATCTTAAAAATAAAGAGTAGAGACTTATTTTGATGGAGGGAAAATAAGTTAAATATTTGTACTAATAATGTTAGATATTGGAAAGTTCTCAGTCTCACTAGAAGAGTCAGTGATGTTGCTGATGATTCAAATAATCATCTTGGCCAATGGTAAGACTGTCAACTTGATTAAGTAGATAGTGGTTGATATGTACTGTGTTTTATTGTTTCCATCAGAACTGTGAATCCTTTGTGCAGGCTCAACGCCGTGCACTTCAGTATGAACGGAAACTAGAAGAGCGAAGAGTCAGACCCAGGAAAGCGCGACGAGGAAGAAGTAGACGAGCTAAAAAATCAAAATCACCTTCTGAAGCAATTACAAGTGAGTATTACTCATGTGATAAAATGGCCAATTTAAATTTTAAAAAATGTTTTATTTTAACAGAGGATTTTTCAATTTTATTTCATGTTGATTTAATGGTATGTTCAGGTTATACAGTTTGATTCAGTAGGAAAATAAATGATGGCTTAATTCAGCTTTTCTTAAAGAGAGAGTTTCTTAACAAGCCTCAAAATTTGAACTGTCAACAAGGGTTTTTTTCCCTCTCTTTCTTTCTCTTTTTCTGTCCTTATCCATTCAATTAAGTCAATATATGTTAATTTCAAATAGGTTTAAATGACATTACACCACTGTGATGGCTTACATTTTTTCTATATGATATGAAAACATCCTAAAAGGAAGAGAAAAATAATATGATCATGCTCTCATTCTCATGCACTTGAGGAGTGCCTATCAAATGTGCTTGTATCTAAATGAACATATATTTGGACATATGCAGGTTTTTATAATTAGTTTCACTAATCTTTAAAATCACTCAGTTAAACTAAAAATATTCTTTAAATTGTGTGTCAACAGTGTATTTCCATTAAGATAATTCATTTTCTGCTTAGCAGTTACACTTCCAAAAATGACCATTTTAATATTTTATGTAAACACTGAAAAATAAGCAGGTAATTGATTTCATTTTTTTCTATCTCAACAAATGCATCATACTTGATATTTTTTTACAATCAGTTGTATTCTTATATAACATGAAAAAAACATTTTTTATTACAAAATACCTTTTCTTCATTTATTGTGTATTATCTTTTAGTCATATGAAATAACGGCACTTTATTTGTCATAAAAAACCTTTTTCTACTTGTTATTTCTAAAGAATTTTCTTATAGTTGATAAATAATTTTTAAGTTAAAATTTAATGGTTAAAGAATTTCTTAAATATAATATTAAATCTAACTTCAAAAGATTCCAAAAATTACTCTGTATACTTGAAATGGTAACAATTATTGAGTAGACTTATAGTTATTTAAACTATAACAAGTTTCCTAAGACTTAAATGTCTCTGTTATATAACTATATATTTCTATAACTATGAGTTTAAGGTAAAAATTAACAGAATGGTTTATTTAAAAAAAACCTCTTTATAAAACCTTTGTGCATTTTTCTAGTCTAATTATTCCTACTTTTTAATTTTTATCAGATAAGCTACATGTACTGTTGGCTTCAAATAAATCAATTGCTCACTGCAGTGTTGCACAACTCCAGCATTTTGTAATAAAAAGAAAAAAATTGCTTTGAATCCCACCAAATACAGAACTTTTATTCCTCTTCCATTTAGGTTGAGATCTTCATTTTTCATCACCAGTGACTGATTTTCTTAATTTTGGATTTTTGTAATGAATTAATTTTTCATTACCATCATCTTGCCCAAAAATCTTTTTGTATCCGACAATGAGGAAAGAAAGATTTAAATGCTAACCAATGTTCTTTTCAATTAAACTTTGTTTCCTTGTTTATGAATCTTTTCAGTTGTAATTATGTACCACAGTTGATTGTGAGTGTACAAGCAATATAGAGCTGAGTAAATTTGAAAGACACTTCTAATATTTTCCCTAAAATTGTTTTTAAAAGATAGCACCAAAAAACTTTGCATCAACTTAGTATTGGTATTAATTTAGATTGTTAATTTGATAAAATAATTTATACAATTTTCACACATTTTTTTGTTTGTAGGTCATGCTATTTTGGCTGACAAAGTAGCCACAACATCTTCATCATCTCCAACCAAACCATTTTTCTACTCTTCCTTGGATGGCTTAGATAAAGTGAGTTCCAGTTATTGCACTCTCAGCCGAACATGTCCGTCACCCATAGCAGGTATGTCTGCTTACAGTAGTCAGGCACCAAGTGAAACCTTGCTTGATTATTCAAAAAACAAAGCCCTAACCAGCCAAATAGATGCAGCTCTGCAGAAGGTGGACATAATTGAAATTCTGGAGAATGGAGGCAATTTAAGGTATGTAAATCTGGTATCATTTTCATTTACTAGAAAGATTCCAAAAAAGAAAGACTTGCAATAAAATACTTGTGGATTATGAAACATAATAATTTAAGCAGTTATTGTATTTTGATTCTTAAAAAAAAAATGGTCATCTCACTGTGGGATTAGCACTTAGTAGCATTCTGTATCTGATCATTTTGTATCTGTAGAAACACAAGTGATGATTAATGTCTGCAAAGAAACAACATTGTGTTTTTTATAAATTTTTATGTGGCTAAAACTTTTTTTTTATGGTATGTGTCAAGCAAAAATATTTTTCTCTTTTCCAGTCAGCATACAGGGTGCAATGAGTAAATTGTCGCTATTATATATTTATAATTTCATACATGTGCATTGTTTGTTTTTTATTTTGTCAACTGCACAGTGTAGGTTGAGTTGGGCACATCTGTGAGAAAAAGAGCACCATGACACAATTCACTCTGCCAGAAATTTGGAAACAGCATGCTGTACTACTTGGCATTCACAATGGAAGCTCCAATATGAACATTTCAGAGTGTTTGGGTGTCGATCTGAGAACAGTGCAGAGGATTTGGAAAGAGTTGAATGAGTCTAATGGTGATTACAAAGGTGTTTGGAGTGATCACTAGTGATGGCAATGTTATGCCTCCATTTATCTTCTCACAGGAATTCAGACTCAACACAGAGGCCTATATTGAGGCTTTCAAGAGGGTGGCTGCTGGAAGACTCTATGCCTGGCAACAGGACTTTGTAACATGCCACACAAGCTGAAGAACCCAGTCATGGCTGTCAGACAATTTTTGCAACCACATCATCCCTTACATCTGACCTTTTGATTATTATGTGTGGGGAACAGTTGAATGAATGACCAACAAAACTCCTTCTAACACTAAAGATGAACTGAAGCAGCATTCACCAACTTAAACAAGGAGACCGTCCAAAATAGTTACAGGAGATTCTGAAGTCATCTGGAGGCCATGGTTGAAGCCAATGGCGATTTCATTGAATAAATTTACTCTTTAATATTTTAAGATTTTTTTGTGTAATTTTGGTAAATATATCTGTTAAAATGAGAAGTCATTTTCATTTTTGGTTAATTTAGACGACAATTTATCCGTCGCATAAAAGCAGTTTTTTAATATGTTCTTTTACGATTCTACCATAAAATATCCTTTTCATCAAAATTTCATCATAAGAAAAAGATCTTAATTCATCAAAATAGATATTACAAATGAAATTGATCTACCAATCTAAATGAATGGTTTCTGGTATGGCTATGGAGGATCTGTGTAAAACTTTTATCATATATCCAGCTTGGCATCCCATGCACATACACACCATTTTAATTATGTATTAATGTACATAAATATATTTATATGGTTATATATGATCTCATTTATGTGAAAAATATCATTTAAATGGTAAATGTTATTATTTTGTGGCAACTAAAATCATCAAACATTAAAAAAATTTGAACAGTATGAAAATTTACAATAAAATTCTATATAAAGTATGTTTATCAATGTTTTGTGTTTTTTGTATTTTACAGTCAATTACAAGCTCGGACAGCATTTGCACTCTATTTGAATAAAGTACAACAGCGACTGTTGAAAGAGGCCACTTCCACTGAAGAAGGGAATGTTGATTCCCTTAATGATCAAATGGTAAGATGCTTTGGAAAATAATTTTATAAACATTTTGCTTGCTTTTTCTTTTACCATCATTTATTAATAATTTTTCTTCTTGTAAATTAGTTTCTATCTCTTATTAGTGTAATAAATGTATTGCTTTAATGCCTTGTGATATTAATATCTTTACAACAATATTATTAGGGGTTTGGACTAAAAAAAAAGTGATGTTTATCTCAAATACAAATGAGGTTTTCTGGGTGCAAATGAAGTGACATTTAGAGTTCTTTAATCATTTCAACCAAAATCTTGACATTTCTTCCAAACATTATCACAGAAACCTCAAAGAAAATAAGTTGATTTTATATTTATCCAATAAAAGTAATAATATTAGTTATGTAGAATATTTGATGATATAAAAGTGCTAAAAGAAAAACAATTTAAAACTGATTGAGTATTGATTTTTTTTAAATCTGTATATTAATATGCCACACTTGCTTTGCTTTGCTTGAGAGGCAAAGAAAAAAAGTAGGTGACCTGGAGAGTAAAGTAGAGAGAGAGAGAGGGGGGTGGTGAGAGACAAAAGGAGTGTGACACAGAGATTGGAAAGTGTTTTCTTAAATAAAGATAGTTGTTTGTAGTGAGGAGTTAAATTATGTTTCAGGACTTAATGATCTCTTGACAAGTTTGCTCTTAAACTGCAAATGACTTTTTGAAATTAAAATCTTTCTTTTTTTAATCTTATTTTCATGAATTTGTTTATATTTCATACATGATTATTTCATTACAGTATAATTTGTCCATTCTGTTCAGTAAAATTCAACTTTGGTTATGATCAATTTTAATTTACCATTTATTTTTTGTTTTATTTTAAATAAAATTTCTAATAATTCTTAAAATATATTTTAAATAAAATTTAGATTATTTTAAAATAAAACTCAAATTGCATGCATATATACCCAATCCACAGCAGTACCTGGGTAACATGTCAATAAGATGTATGTTGTCAACCCAAAACTAGGACACTTGTGTGTGTATGTGTGTTCAATATAAACACCTAAACTACAATATTTATACAAAAAATTAAATAAAACTGAAAATGAATAGATTATTTAAAAGAAAAGAAAAATATGTATATTAATAGACTTGTCAAGAGTTAAACAGAGAGAGAGAGAGAGAGAGAGACATAGTGAGTACAACAGAAAGGGAAAGAGAGAGTGGGGGGAAATAAATATTTGTACACCATGAAATTTTTTAATTAACATATTTCTACACCATTGCATAATGCTGCAATATGCAAAAAACAAGTAGTAAACTTTATTATAAATGAAATTGTGTTATTTATAAAATTTTGAGGTGAAAAAAGTATTCATACAAAATTATAATACCTATTTAATACTTTGTAGTATATCCCTTACTCAATTCAACAGCAATCAGTCTCTTTCTGTAGCTTTTAATCAATGATTTGCAAGTTTCCATTGGTATTTTACTCCATTCTTCTTTGCATATTCTCTTTAGACCAATGATGTTTTTCAGAGCTCTTTTATTAACTTGAATTTTTAATAAACACCACAAATTCTCTCTTGGATTCAAGTCTGGAGACTATTATGGCCATTTGAGTGTATTGACATTGTTTTCAATAAGCCATTTTTTCATAGATTTAGCCACATGTTTAGGGTTATTATCTCGTTACAAAACTCAATTTGGGAGTCCAATCTTTACTACTGACCCAAGCAAATTAGTCCAAAACATATTGGTTTATTTTTCAATTCATTCTACCATTTATTATCTCTAAATTACCCATACCATTAGCAGAAAAGCATCCCCAAACCATGATATTGTCACCACCAAATTTCACTTTTGGGATTGTGTCCCTTCAGTGCAAAGGCTGTGCCATCTTTTCTCCAAACATGAGTCCTTGAATTATACCCAAATAGTTCAATTTTTGCTCCATCTGTCCATAAAACACTTTCCCAAAATGATTCAGGTTTATCCTTATGCTAACAAACAAATTTTAACTAGGTATTCATATGTTTCTTCAATAGTAGTGGAGTTTTTTTCTCTTGGAGAATGTGATCTTAGTTTATGTCTATGCAATTCATTGCTTATTGTTTGCTTCATAACAATAATACTTGATGCTTTTAATTCTTCCTGTATTTCTCTCTGAGTAGTAATTTGATTTTCCTGAATTTTGGGCTGAATTCTTCTCATTGATCTGGGAGAAATCTTGTATGGTGCACAAGGTCTCGATTTGTTCTCAAGTTTTCACCTTTTTATACTTAGCAATAATGGAACTAATAGTAGTAAATGGTATAGTCAGGATATCTGCTATTTTTCTGTAGATTTTACCTTCCTTCCAATGTTTGATGATCAATTCCTTTTGCGAATTTGATAGTTCCTTGCTTTTCCCCATGATGATAATTACTGTGTATGATTTGTGTGTGGAGATAACCTTATATAAGAAATGAATTGCAGAATGTTCTTGATTGTTCCAGTAATAAGATAATTGGAAGAATCTAGCAAAATCTTACAAAGAATTATGTAAATAAAGATAATTTAAGCCTTTTGATATTAAAGACATATTTTGTACGAATACTTTTTTCACCTCAAAATTTTATAAATAACACATAATTTCATTTATAACAAAGTTTTCTAATTTTTTTTTTTTTACATATTGCAGCATTATGCAATGGTGTAGAAATATTGTATGGATTTTAAGTTGTTTTCTATTGCAAATACAGTATCACTTTTAACTCATGAACTACTCAAGAGAAATTAATTTCTCTTTGATTTTACACATCTTAAGTAGACAAATTATTTTTAGAATAAAACAAATAAAAATGCTCCTATGACTGACTACCCTTTCTTTGTTGGGCAATCACATGATTATCCATCATTTGTTTTGTTGTTATTTTTCCATGAATTTCTATTGCAAACACAGCACAACTTATTAAAAAATGCATTCTTCATATAAAGTCAGATCTTGCAGAATACTCAGACATTCTTACCTTGAAATATACTGAATAGTTGACCCTACTTAAATCTAATCTTAGGTTTGAAATATACCTAATACCTTCTGTGTAACCCTCTCTAACCTGTTAACCTTCTCTTTAATTTACCATGTACATTTTTTATTTTATTTTAAGTAAACTTTGTAATTTATATTCCATTAAAAAAGCAACATTGAAGTTTTTATAGAGCTTTTTTCTGTGTTTTAGCTGATTGCTTAAAAAGATAAACAAAATACTTAAGAGTAAGAAAGATAAAATAACAGAAAAATTTAAGTAGCACATGCTCTTAAATAAAAAATAAAACAGGGCCAGTAAGTGAAGATACTTATAAATTAAAACAAATGCAATTGTTAGCATTAGAAAAGGTAAGTTAAATAAACCAATATTTTAGGAACTCCAATTTTAAATCTGATTTACTTTAATTATTTTTTAAATAAACACTGGCAAAATTAATAAATTATGAATAAAAGATTATTTTTTTAAATTATTATCTATATATTAATACACTTGTATCTACCTGTGTATGGTGCATGTCATTAAATCCAGACTTTATTGAGTATCCAAGTAGCAAAAGAAAAAGAAAGGGGCATAGAGAGTAAAACAATGAGAGACAGAGAGAGAGATATAAAAATACCATGTGACACAGAGCCAGATTGAAAGGGGCATCATCTTAGATAACTCATTTTTCATAACTTAATGATCTGTTGAAGACATTGCCGTATTTTAAGAGAGACTGTCACTTTTCTTATAAAACTATCCAGGAATTGTCATGGGTTGAAAAGTACAGAGTGCAGCATTAAAAATTGATAAATCTTACATGGATTCTGCTAGTCACAATTAATGACAGTATATTGAAGTAATTCAAAGTAAATCAATTGAGAATGCAGTGAAAACCATACAGAGATCTAAATCTTTTGAAGATGACATTTCATTATTTCAATTGTCACATTATGGAATTATGTTGCAAGTGCTGTGCAAATTTTGTCTGGAGTTAGTATCGTATATGTTCTTGCCAAATTTAATGAAACTTTAAAGTAGAATTTCCAAAATACAAATTCAGGTATTTCTGTTAAAATCTCTTCTCAATATTCTTAGGAATGGAAAATGTTACCTTGCAATTAACGTCTACAGACATTTATCCTGTATCTGACATTTATTTATACATTTATCATGTATCTGACATTTATTTATACATTTATCATGTATCTGACATTTATTTATACATTTATCATGTATCTGACATTTATTTATACATTTATCATGTATCTGACATTTATTTATACATTTATCCTGTATCTGACATTTATTTATACATTTATCCTGTATCTGACATTTATTTATACATTTATCCTGTATCTGACATTTATTTATACATTTATCATGTATCTGACATTTATTTATACATTTATCCTGTATCTGACATTTATTTATACATTTATCCTGTATCTGACATTTATTTATACATTTATCCTGTATCTGACATTTATTTATACATTTATCATGTATCTGACATTTATTTATACATTTATCCTGTATCTGACATTTATTTATACATTTATCCTGTATCGACATTTATTTATACATTTATCCTGTATCTGACATTTATTTATACATTTATCATGTATCTGACATTTATTTATACATTTATCCTGTATCTGACATTTATTTATACATTTATCATGTATCTGACATTTATTTATACATTTATCCTGTATCTGACATTTATTTATACATTTATCATGTATCTGACATTTATTTATACATTTATCATGTATCTGACATTTATTTATACATTTATCATGTATCTGACATTTATTTATACATTTATCCTGTATCTGACATTTATTTATACATTTATCATGTATCTGACATTTATTTATACATTTATCCTGTATCTGACATTTATTTATACATTTATCATGTATCTGACATTTATTTATACATTTATCCTGTATCTGACATTTATTTATACATTTATCCTGTATCTGACATTTATTTATACATTTATCCTGTATCTGACATTTATTTATACATTTATCCTGTATCTGACATTTATTTATACATTTATCCTGTATCTGACATTTATTTATACATTTATCCTGTATCTGACATTTATTTATACATTTATCCTGTATCTGACATTTATTTATACATTTATCCTGTATCTGACATTTATTTATACATTTATCATGTATCTGACATTTATTTTTTATTGGAATGTGTATAATTAATTGCTGGTTAGTTACTATAAAACCTATAAAATAAGTACACTGGTGTGCAAACTTTTGGGCCACTTTGGTAAATTACTTTTGTTAATTTTACCCCCAAATCAGGAGTTATTAGCAGTATGTTTTTCTTAGTACAGTTTGTGATTTTTGAAGGCCAGAAAACAAGTTACTGCATTTTTGTTAATGCTGTATGGGTGATGCTGAAAAGAGGCCATGGAAAAATACTGGGCCACCAGCAAAAATGTCACCTTTCAGCTCTTTTCTTACATATTCTCTTACACTAAAATGTAACTGTATTTTGCATGCATCAGTAAAAAAATTACTTTTTGCCACTTTCCAGAATCCCACATTAGATTTCTTTTAACCACTTCAATCTTCTATTCTGATGATTTTTTTTTGTTTTTTTTTTGTTAATGATGTTTTTTTTTTGCTGCTATACACCCATTCAAATTGTATTTTTTTCATAATACTCTGTGTTCTACATTAACTGAAACTTAACTGCTAAGAATTGTATTCATTCCTCATTTGTCTGGTTGTTAATTTTGGATTGCCTACTAAGACTCTCACAATCTTCTTTTCATGTGTTCTTCCAGTTTATTTTGCACTTTAAACACTTCCAGTAGTAGTCTGTTTCTAGAAATTCCTGTCATCTTCACCTTCAGTCACAACCTCCATTTTTGTTTCAGCAAAAATTTTAGCCATGATTTTAGCGTTAAAAAAAAAGCAAGCTAATACGATGACAACTACAATGACTTGTCAAGGTACCTTACACTCATTAATAAAATGGAACAATTCTTACTTAGAAATTTGCATATTATCAAATATTTCATTGGCCCAATAATTTTGCATGATATTTATTCAGCATCAAGTTGCTTAAAGTAATGTATCTTCTGTTACGCAGCACCTACAAAAATGCAACAACTTATCTTTCCAATATTTAAGGTGCACAGACGTTATTGATAGAAGTATACTGTTAAAACAACTTCAGTTCTTAATAACATAAAGATATATAATCATTTTATATAGTTGATCCAAAACTTTCACATTCCAGTGTATAATAATTAAAAATCTACATGTTAAATTTATAAAAAAAACTATGACAAAGTTTTAGAGAAAATGGAAACAAAAAGTACACTTATATTCAACATCAGAAAGAGAGCTGAAATTTCTAGGGCACATAATGAGGAAAGAGGGCTTGGAAAATTTGATACTCACAGGATAGATTGAAAGCAAGAGGGACAGAGGAAAACAGTGCATAACCTACCTAACAAGTTTGTGTAAATGGATGGCAGAACAGGGTTTAAGAGAAATAACAAAAAGAAAAAAAATTACTAAGAGCAACAAAGGACAGGAAATTGTGGGGAGCCATAATTGCCAAGCCCTGAAAAGACAGGCACATAGAGGAAGAATCCTGCTTATGTTTTATTTATAATAAAACAATTGCCCATGTTTATCAGTTAAAATTTAGTGAAAATTAATATTTTTTGAATTAATTATTTCTATGCAAGTTAAAATAAAGACTTGAAAATCAGCCAATACATCATTAGGACAAAACCTTTATCCAGTATTTTGCAACTTGTTTACTTCAACAATTTCTGTTTCTTCATTGTTTTGTTTGACATTAGCATTATTTGTGGGTTTTTTTTCTCCCATATCAGGATCTGGTTTTACGCTTTTTAAAGCGAGCTGCAGTTAACTTACAAAGAAATTTTCGTGTAGTTGTGCCTAGTAAGAAACTGCCCCTAAAGGAACGTGCAAGAATATTAGCTAAAGAACTGGCTGAATTTGTGCAGCACTACAAGAAGGTAAGGTACTGATGCACCAAACATCATGGGTGACAACCTTACTCTTGCAAACAAAACTGTTCTCAATAAACTCTCTTCACATCATAGAAATATAATGTTTCCCATTATATGTAATTCCTCACTACAAATCTAAATTCATGTTATGTTTGTTATATTTTATTAAATCATAATTCTAACTGACTGCACTAATCAATAAAATTGAATACAAATATTTTCTTACCTTTCTTTAAGACAGAATTTGATGGAGTTATCAGCACACACAATCATTCATGAAAAACATTGCATTAATAATAATTTCACATTTGATATAATATAATATTATTTTCATTATTATAATAATAATGTATATCAATTATATTATTAATAATCATATTAAACTTACAGCTTTTTTTAGCCTTTATAGATTTAAGATTTCAAAATATTTTCTCAAAAAAAAATTACTAATGTGAATCTGGAAAAAACTCTGGAGTAGAAATTTCAGCTGATTAAAATTCATGAAAAGATCAAAAAGATGTACAACAGGAAATATTTTTCTGCACATATTATGCAGCAAATACGTTTTGTTATTTTGCAGAACTTTTTAAACTTGCTTTTAAACATTTTTTCACTTTGTCCTTTAACTATAAAATGTTATTTTTATTTATATTTGTTGTGATTATCAGTTCTTTTATTTGGTTAGAATAGATAAATAGTTTCTTCAAATATTATATTAGCATGACATAATATATTATTTTCATCTTATATAAATCATTATTTCTTTTTTTTATTGTCATTAATTTGTTTTGATTAATATCTAAGCCTCACTCAATTCTACTGATTTTGTTGTTAGATTCTCTTTTCCTTCACTATCACCAAACTAAACTGTATCTATTGGTATACTTTTATTATGCAACATAAAATTAATGATTTAACTGATGAGTTTTGTCTTTTGTAAGGGCCTTGCTGATTTGATGAAAGGTTATATCACATCCAATCCTTTTTAGATTTTTACTTCATTTAAGGAATATCAACTGACAAGTTAATTTTATATTGACAATAGAACCAAAGCTAGCTAAATGCTTGTTGTTAATTTTCTTTTTAACTGCTAATTTAAAATCTATAACTGCCACTCAAATCAAGATCATAACATAGTATGGATTCTAAGTTCTTCTATCCAGGAACTTGCTAAATGCATTTTAGTTAAATCTTGCTTGTATAGTATTCTTGCTCTTTTAACAAGAATTATTTATGACGGTTTACTTTTATGCTTTCCATTATAGATAGTGTACTGCTTTTCTCTTGCAACTAATCCTATTTGATCAGTGATTAACATAAGTTTATATTAAAAAATATCTCTTCTATTGAGACTTTAACATGATTCTCATTATGAGTATGTTAATATTAATTTGGCTTTGCTTAAAAATAATAAATGCATGTTTGTGTTTTTTGCAGATGCTTAGTTATGAAACCAACAAGTTTTACACCTTAAAGCCATGCTTATATGTACATTCATTGATTTCAGTATGGACATTGAGTTGATATGTTGATAAAAGTTTCACATCTTAAAAGCCATACTGATGTTAGTAAAAACTTTTACATTTTAAAAGCCATGCAGCTGTTGATATGCCAATAAAATTTTTACATCTTAAAAATCATGCTGATGCTGATGGTGATATGCCAATAAACAAACAAGTATAGACATAAATGTCAGCTGAATATCTAGCCTATTGTTTGAAAGCATCTATTATCATAATAATGAAGTTTTATGTGTTGTGCCACTCTTAAGGCATATCATTTTAAGGAGTACAGATCAACCCCTTCCCTGCTAATTATTTTAGGACAAACAGTTCATTTTCAGATGAATTTTTTGTTTGTTTTTAATATAGTAACTAAGAAACCTTGAAGCACTTGAGTGATGGCTAACACATTTACCAGATATATGAGTTGACAATTGGACTCATTTCAAGCTCAGAAGGGCATAAAAAGAATCAAAATTGACATATAAATATGTCTATAGCTAGTTTTTTCATGTTATGTGTTTATTTGTCTGTGTCTGAAAAAGACACTTTCGATAAAAATGTATACACACATCTACACTGGGAAAGCTGTTAAGAAATACTGTACAAAAGGAATTATCTGATTATGTTACTGAGAACATCAGTTATATATTTTTGTTTTTTAATTTTTATTAAATTAATTTGGATTCCCATTTTTGTAAGCTTTCAGATTTTCTCAATCAAAAAAATATAAAAAGGTGTTAAAAAATTCATATGTTAAAAATAGATTAATTTTTTTTTAAATGTATACAATTTCAAATTTGCATAATTTTCATAGTTAATTACTTTCAGAATAATTCAGTCTTCAAAGCTTGAGGATCTAATTATTGTTTAAAAAATGTTCAAAACCAAAATAAAGTTAGAATAAGTATAAATCCTGTGTAACATGAAGTGGGAACTTCTGTGTCTATACTTGTTCATATGTATTGTAATAAATTTTTTCTACTAATTAAAATTATTGTCATAACAAAGATACTATTACATAACGATATGCACTCTTGTTTTACTTGTACTTTATTAAAATCTTTTGCCTAAAAATTCCTGCTCATAATTTCTGGCCACTTCTTACATTATTTTAGTATATTTTGTATATAATTAAAATTATTCTCTGATTTTATTTACAGGAAACTCTACAGTTGAAAAAAACACTACAAAATGAAATGAAAGATGACATTACCCAACCAATTAGTGCTGAAGATTTCAACCGGTTCTTGCAATATTCAAAGTAAATACTAGCATTTCTCATTTAGCTATGTTGTTAAGGTTTTAAATTCTTTTGTTTAATAAATGGTATCTTTTTATTGGTTTTATTTTTGACACATTTTCCATTCATATTCTTATTTATTTGCTTATTACTGGATATTATATACACTGATTAAAGGATGTTATAATTAAAACAAATTTGCATGATTATATCACAAAGAATCATCATACATCTTTACAGGAAGATTTTAAAAGAGGCAATTATTTTGGCTGGTCAAAGAAATTATACAATGACTGAGATAGGTTTAGGTAGAGGCCCTTATTTTGAAGTCAATCAGTTTTCTTTTTTTTCAATGGTTAATAATCCTTCACTAGCACAAAAATCTAGATGTAGTCCTTATTATAAAAAAATTTACTATTCATGGAATATTTTTCAGTTTGCTTATTAGAATAGCAATCAGTTTTTATATAAAAATAAATGCTAAGTTTCTCAATCAGAATTTTAAAAAAATTCTTTCTCATTTAAATTTGTACTAAAAAGACTATTTTTACATTCCCGTAATATTCACACTCCTTGTAAAATATGCTATACATAGGTGTTAAATCTAATTGCATTGAGGAAATGTATATTTATTAAAAACATAAAAGATGATTAGGTAGGGTGATGAAATATGATATCTCACATTGATTATTATAAGATCTTATTTTATGTGCATTATTCATCATTGTAAATTAATGAAGTTGTATTCATAATATAAATGTCTAAATCTTTGGGAACTGGTGGTTTTTGAAACAGATAAAGCATACAAGCAAAACATTGTAATGCTTTTAAAAAAATCATGAAATGATAGTTGATAATTTACAACAGTGATTTTATTCACCAAGCATACATTTCCTGTGTTTAATGTTTTCATTAGATTATGCAAGACATAAAGATATGACAATGCTAATTTTTTTTTAAAATGTTATTTTATTCAACTTCTGAGGGTATCACATATGATCTCAATAAAAGTACAATGCTGCCAAATATTACTTTTGTCTGAATTTCTTAAAACTTTTTATTGATATTTTTCTCATATGTACATATTTTTATTTCAGTGAAAGTGAACTGGAAATGGTCCTGACCACATATGCCAAGCTCAAGAAATCTGCAAGTATCTTTTTGGGTGAAAGTACGACTGCATCTCTGGATGATTCTCAGAGTTCCAGCATTTCTTCTACTTCCCCAAAAGAAGGCAAAGTTTCTACTAATCCCAAGAAAGAAGGTACACACAGAGGAAAGAAGAACACAAGTCCCCCCAAAAGTGAGTAGTATATTTGCAAATGTCAATACACTTGTATAGTTATAGGCATGTGAAAAACAATTTTTATTGTTGTAAAGTTTAAAATAAATGATGTCTAATATTTTTATAGGTGCTTGAGAATTTTACTTTAAAGATATGACATTTAAAATTTACACAATTACACATTCTATAATATATGCAATCTTGTGTGTGTGTGTGTGTCTGAAGTTGTCATGTATAAATACAATATATGTTCAAATGCATATAATCGGGAAGTTTTTGTTTGAAAATTAATCTTGTATATATGAATGGACACTAAAAATTTCTCAGCCCAATCAAGAATTTTTCCCCCTAAAGAAAATTAAGTTGATGAATCATTTTGTCAGATTTTAGGAAGTAGGTCAGACTGAAAACTTTTCAGACTTCTCTCCCCCCATATATATATCTATATAAATTTAAGAATATCTTTTCATAATAAATTAATATAAAAAAAATAGATGATCTGTTGTACAATCTGTATACAGTTTATATGAATTGAATGAAAATAGTAATTTAAGATATTTACATGTTAACTTTATTTTGATGACTATACAAATTGATTTGAAGTAATAAATCTCCACTTTCTACTTGTTTTAACTTTTAAAATCTGTTTTATAAACATAAAAACACTTAAATATTACATCTCAAGAAAGGATCAAAGAAAAATAATATACAATCTTACACAAAGTATTACACAAACCACCTGTGCCAACAAATTGTCTAAAAAATGGTATTTCAGTTTTAAGACTTTGTGAAACTGATGTACTAAACTATAGATTTGTGTGACATGTACAAATTTTACTGTTTTTATTTAATAGTTTCATAGTTTCCATTCTGTAGGCTTTAAACTTTATTTTGCTAATATTTTTATAATTTTTTTTGTGGCTTTTTAAACATATAATTGTAAGCTTGTTTGTTTTCAATTTACTGTCATTAAAAATTGAATCTGTGGGATTTCTTCAAAAATAAAAACATAAGTACAAATCAGTTTTGTAACATGGTTAGAAATATTACAAATGTTTGTAGAAAAGTTTGACTAATACAGCTTTAAAAGTAAAGTTGATGAATATTTATTAGTAAAGAGTTTTTCAGCATTATAATTTTCTATCTGCAAGAAATTTAGTTAGATAAATTTAGTATTAAAATTCAAAACATTTACTTCATTTTGAAAATAAACAAGTTTTTTAAAACGATTTTTAATTAATTTGATTTATAAAATATATGAAATTAAAAAATGATATCTTTCACAGATAAATCTGTGAAAAATTTTACTGTTCAAGAAATTTAGTTAATTTTTTTATTTTCCTTTGCAAAATTTCTAAAATTTAATTTGATCTAATTGCACTTTATTTAGAGATTTCTAATTATTTTTTAGTCAAAATGAATTTACTTTTGAATTAAGAAAAGTACTTTGATAAAAATAAGTTAAGATTACAAAGCATTGCAAAAATAAATTCATACTTAACATTTACATATTTAACATTAACATATTTATCACTCAAAAACATTCATATTGTGATGCTTAACATATTTTGCTTATTTTTTCTTGAAATTTTTTACAACCTGATATTCACAAATATAAACGAAGTGTTGCAAGTAAATGTTAGTGTTTTTATTCAGCTTATCCACAGAATGTTAAATCCCAAACACTAGTTTTGTTTGTTTTTATTAAAGGTATTAGGAAAAGTGTTTGTTCCTAAATCTTTGCTACAGACATCAGAGTATACTCCTGACATTTAATGTTAGCTCACATTATTTTATTGACTAATTCAAATAATTCAGCAATTAATGATTTTTGTTTATTTTGTTATTTCTTTAACCTCAATTGTCAATCAATTTTACATTGATTTTCATGTATGTCACATCTATCCAAAATATTTCTGCTCCTCTTTCTGCTTCAAAATTATTAGCACATTATTTATCATTATTATTAAATTATTTGTTTGCATAACATTATTTGATTTTCTAAAAAGAAAATCTATAATCTATTTCCTACCTACCTACCTCATCAACTGCAGTCAAGTTCATAGGTCACAAACTCACACCACAATTAACTGTGAACTCCATAATTTCTTCTCTGACTATATAGTATGTGCTTTGCCATACAGTTTTGAATTCAGTATTGTTCTTCTCCTAGATTGGTTGCCAACCATAGCTAGAGATCCCAGACTACCCTGCTATTTAATCCATAGCTGGAGCAGAGGAGAAGAGATGGATTTATACTTTTTCCAAGGGTACTTTTACAAATAAGTGAATGTAATAAACTCAATTGGAATTCAAACTTGGCTCCCCATTTTCTCATTCTGAGACATCCACTATTTGTCTATTACAAACTATTTATTTGTAGGATAAATGACAACAGCTTAAATAAATTTTGTAAAATGATCATCTGTGTCTTCAGTTTCTCATGAAATAAATACAGACCATTTTACAAAATTAATATTAATTAATAGATGTAAGCAAATTTTATTGGTTTGGTAAAACTCCTTTACTGACTTTATTGCTATTAATTCTTACATAAGCATTTAATGTTGACATTCATTCATTCATTCATTCTAATAAAAAATGCAGTCATTATGCAATAAATGTAGCATCACTTTTTCAGAATTTGAAATAATAATAATACATCAGATATTCTCCTGGCATTTGACATGATAATACAAGAAAAAAAAAACTCTGATTGCATGGCATTTAACTTCTGGTTCTGCTTTATTAGAATTGAATCATTGAGTTTTCAAAAAGTTCCACTCCACAATGATACATTTAAAACCTTCCATCCTTACAAAAAAGATACAATATATGTTGATGTTATTTAAAAATTGTAAATTTGAATCTAACTAATGGTTTCCTTTATTGGTGTCTTTTTCATATAATAATTGTATATAGGACCTTGAAAAACATTCTTTTTAATGAAAATTTCATACTTTGTTTTAATTTTTGGACATTTTGTTCATATTTTTAGTGATAACTATGGAAACACATTAAGCATTGAAAAATGATTGAAAACATTTTCTACAACTCATGAAAGTATTTGAATTTTCTTTTTTTATGCTAAATATTTGAAGTCAATAGCCTCAGATGATCTGGAATTATAAAATCTTTACTTAAAATTAAGACTTCTGTTTCTGCATAATTTTTCCTTTGAGGAAATCTGTTTATTCAAAGATTTTGATGCAGTCTTTATTCACATTGTATTTTTATAATGATATTGAATATAATTATTATTTTGTAAATTGTTTTCGATATTCCTATTTTAAAAATTAATCATAAAATGAAACTTTTCATATTATTTTAAAGATTTATTTAAAAAATAGTAAAAAAATTCATCCCATTTTTTTAATGAATTCTTCAAACTGGTTTTTAATAATAAAAAAGCCTTTATTAATAAAGGAAATTCTTACAGCTTCTTTTGTTGTCATGTCTTATACAGCTTCTTCCAATTTACAATGTTCAGTTGGTACAATGCCAGTACAACATAACTTGTCAGTATATTTTGTATACTGTTCATTCCCAAAATACCTGTTTCATAATGCCTTAATGTCTTTGCATTGATAAAAGGTAGTATATTAAATCATATATAACAATTATTGTTTATAATTTTATAATTGTGAACAAATATTTCCTTTGTTTATAGAATTAACACATTTTAAACCTTAGCAATTAATTGGAACACATTTATTTTCTTTCTTAACAGATGCATAAGAAGAAAAAATCTTGTTTATTATTTTTTCATCACAGAAGGAAGTTTTCAGTGGGATCTAAACATTTTTTTAAAAACTAATCTTAGAATTCAATCATTTAAATTTAGTTTCAAGAAATATCAAAAGACTGAAATATAATTTTTCTGCTTGTCAGATACAATTTTTTATTTTACTGAAACATTTTTATATTAAAACAAAACTTTGATAATCAAGACAATTTTCTGTTATAACTTTTATTCATTTTATTGCTTACATTACTTGAGATATAACAAAATTACTCTATTCATGTTTGATAAATTCTCATTTTTTATGGAACAATCTCTGCACTAATTACTACAAGAGATGAAATGATTCAGTTTCTCATGTTTCAAATGGCTAAGACTTCAGTTTTACTAGCTGTAAGATATAAAAGATATATTCATTTTTAAGATTTATAATAAAACAATTACTGATAGCAATTTGGTCCTGTTTTGTGTTCAACAGATCCTTCAGATATTGCATTTAAAGGTGAAATCCCTCCAGGTTTTCACAGAAAACCTTCATGTCATCCGTCCACTGGTAATGTTCCTTATACATTGTCTGGTCCTGGACAACAACAGAAGACTTTTGTCAATATATACAGTCAAAAAATTACACAATCACGCCCCTCTTCAGTTATAAATTTCAAGCCAGGTAACCTAAATTTCACAATAAAAAAACTAATTTTATTTAAGAATGCAATAATATTGCTAATATGCTTCATATTTTGTTCGTAAATCTATTTTTCTCATAACTCTTGATTACATCTACTAACCATGATCTTTAACAGTTTAATCTCTAAATAAACATTAGCTACAAAACAAAAGTTGTGAGTGTTGGTTCAATTAATAGAAAAGCAGAAGCCAGATTTCTCTGTCAAGTAGTGGAAATTTCCACTTGAAAAGCTTATCATCAATACATGAAGAAGAAAAACTAATATTTGAATAGATTCAGATTGTCCTCTTTACTAGCTTATATGCTTAAAAATCTGCAATACCCACAAGCCATCAATAAAATATAAGTAGATCTTCCTCATTATACTACATCATCATTAAATCTTCAATGTCTAATCTGGCAAATGAAATCAAATTGGTTATGGAGATTAGGATGCCTGAAGCAAAAATAATTTTCATCAACATCTGTGACAACACAAATGGTAGGAAAAAAATATATGACATCAGACAGCATTGGACTCCTGCTAGTCTGACTAAATTTGCTATTATAAATCTTTAGAATATTAGTTAAAAATTTCAATGAGTTTTTTTTTTCAGTAAGACAGAAAAGATATTAAAAATGCATGGAATCATTTTAGTAACCAACTAATTGCAAGAAAGAAAAGTAGGCAAAATTGCTTAATCATAAAATTTATCAGACTTTGTTGAACTTTTCAGAAATTTTTCAATAATTAACAGAATTATTTTTAAAACTTTTTTTTAAAATTTGTAGAAATATTTTTAGGTCTGTCATTAAACTAAAATATACATGCTCACATGCAAATGTAAATACACATACTATTTCAATGAAATTGAAATTGACTTCTGTATAGTTAATTTCTCTTTCTAACTGACCAGTTAAAAATAATTTTCACTGGCTTTCAAAAATGACATAAATCTTTGAAATATTCATGTTTACAAGATGTAATATCTGCAATCTTATTTTGATGTATGTCTGAGAATTTCCTTTTGCCATAAAAAAAAATTTATTACTATTATTCTTATAATTTGTTAAATTCATCTTTCTATTTCCCTGTTATTCAATGTAGGTATTACATATTTTCTTTTATAATATTAAAAACTGAACTTACAAGTAGGTTCAGAATTTGGTAATAGAATTTCGGATATACAAAGTTAACAGATTATTTTGATTACTTGTAATTCACTCTTTTATTTTATTTTTAAAGTATGTGGGTTGAGCACAGACTAATATCAAACTGCTGCACTGCTTGCTGCCTCTGTGTAAATTTTTAAAGTTAATTACTGCTTTAGATGTTTTTAATTTTGCGAGTGTGCTTTTAGTGCTTAATTATTAATCAAATTTACTAGTCATACTTTTGTTTTATCAATTTGCATAAACCTTTTTTATTTTTTTATCATAGCTGTCACTTTTAACCATTCATGAACATAAAAACAACTGATTTTTTATTATAGGAGAAGAATCTTCAGGTAAAGTTACAAGTTGAGAAATATATAAATGTTTGACAGATCTTCTATTTTGAATTCCTAAAAATAAGAGTTGAAATCAAAAATATTTTTCCAAAATTTACTTTTCTCTATTTTCCAAATAGAATAAATAAAATTGATGGTTGGATTTACCATTAGAAACAAAACCAGTTTTTATTTATCCAGCATGTTTTATTTTTCTTTATATGATTTAATCTACATATATAAGAGTGCCTAGTTTAAAAACTTCCAGTTTAGATTACTTTCTCTCTACTATTAGTTGATGCTGTTTGGACAAAACACAAAACGATTACTAGTCAAGTTGTTTCAATTCTGCTTACTAATTATTATTGTCTCCTCTTTAGGAAAGGCTTCAGTGTAAAATATCTATATAAATACATATTGATGTTAATCTTAATCAAAACCAGTAAAAATGAATAGGCTATGACTGATAACTATCAGCCAAGGCTCATAACTATAACATCTCCTTTGGCTGCCGCTTGCACCAGGTCATGTAACCACGTTTAGGGTCTTAGGACAACATATTAACCACAGGGCTAACTCTGCGCTGGTCAATGCTGGAACTGGTCTAAGCTGATTGTTAGTTGCTGGCCACTTTGATCCACACCAACTCTGTCCATGTTGTGTTCTTGCTCACAGAGCAGTAGAAGATCAAAGGTTGTAGTAATCACAGCACGGATGGCGAGTGCTACATTAAAGAAGAAAAATATTTTCATGGCAAAAAAATAAAATGAAAGATTTATGGGGTTAATCTTCAATTAGTTTATATAGTCTTGGTACAACAGAAATTAACCCTTCCCACATTAATCTCTGTAGTGACACTGGGACTTGTCTAAAATTCTGGAGGAGTTGGGTTCAAAGTTCTTTAGAATCAGGAAATCTGGTGGCAGCTGACATGGATTCCAGAGTCACTCTATACAAGTTCTCAGCCCCAAGTTTCCAAGCTCCCAAAGTCATCTGCTTATATGCACTCAGCCCAAAACTGGCATGGGGCCAAAGGTGTTCTGGGGATGCAGTGATTTCCCAATTTTCACATTAATCCCACAAAAGTTTTTTTGTTTCCTATTTCTGCTTTCTTGATCAATTTTCCAAATTTGAAGAATTATCCACCATCCTTAGGAACAGTCATAGGGATTACTCCTCTCCCTAACTCCAACCTGCTTCACTTCACATCTCACACCACCACTCCACACAGGTAGCACTAAATTCTGTCTCTTCATCCTTCTTTCTCAGTATTCTAACTCAGCCCAACTTTCAGGGCTAGCATAACTGTCTTTGTGACAAATCTAAATTTAAAGTGCATAGGCGAAAGGGTGTAGTTTATCCTCATCATTAATTTCAATTCTCTAACTCCCTTCCATTTCCCTAGAATTACCTCTGTCCAGTGAGAACACAAATCAGATGACTGCTTTCTCATTTAACCTTCTGAGTGAGAGATAAAATTATTTCCCAATTTGTTTACATCAACAAAAATGTTTATTTACCTACATTCTTAACAAAGAGACAAGCTGTTCTCTATCCGTGAGCCAATCGCTGTCTCAGTGAAGAACTAGACTGGATCAATTTTCATAATCCTAACCTTCACAGCAGGTTCATTCCCTGTTTTCATTTCTCAATTCATTTTTGCCAACAAAAATATAATTTCTGTCTGTCTCTCTTCTCATTAATGACATGTGTTTTTCTAATTTCTCAAGAAAAAGATAAATCCATTTCCCAATTTGTTTTACCTGCATGCCAGATTTTCGATAGATAACAAAAAGGAAACTCTTGGTGCATTGTTCCAATTTGTAGGAAGGAGACAATCCAGATAGTCCTTTTTTGACTTCCACATTACCAGGGAAAATGTCTTCCATTCTCTCTCTCTCTTTCTCTCTCTAAGTTTATATTTCATTTTGGGCTTAACTCTTTTTCTGCTCAGAATTAAAATTTAACCACCTCACAACCTCAGTGTCATATAACAATAACAGTCCAAAATTGTTGATATTGCCTTAACCTTTATCACTCTGTATGTGATTTCATTTGCTGTGTAAAAAGTTTATCCTATCATTGAATTTGTTTGAATTTCATAGTTTTGTTATTATATCCTGCTATGGCAACAGAAAACATCTTTGAGGGAAATTTAACAATAAGATTAATGCAGTTGACAAAGAATGCAGTGGAAAAGAAAGTAATAAGTTATGACTAAATAATAATGGTAATCTGAAATTCAGTATTGATATACATGAACCAAATATGTTTTTTTTTATTTCTAATTTGTATTCAAATATGTAGAAATTAAAATGCTTAGTTACATTTGAATGCTTAACATTTGCTTGATTTTTAGTTCAACAGAAGAAAATATCTTTTAATTAATGTTTATATACAAGATAAAGAGATCTTAAATAAGGGAACATTCTTCCATCTTTCATATTTTGCCTCTAATTGCTTTCTAATTTCCTTTGTCATTACATTTATCCTTGCAATCCTACATTAGCATCAAAGACTATTTTATTTTTATTTAACTCTGTCTAAACTAAATTACAGATTGATATCTATATAATATATATTTGGAATAGTTTTTTTTTCTTCTGTATTTCTATTTGTTTTGTTTTTTTGACCATTGATTTTGCTTTTAATATTTTTACTATTCTATTTTCTCCTCTATAGCTTCCAGAATTCCAACTCAGAGACCTGCATCTGCATCTAGTAGTAGATGTCTTTCTGCAGCAACACAAGATATTTCAGTTGGTAGGTAGACATTTTATACAGTGTACATTGCTTTTTTATTTTAAAAAAGAAAGATATTTTTAGGATAAAATTAGCCAGAATTTAGATTAAATTTATCTTTTTTAAACAAAAGTGGTTTAAATAAGCTCTTATTTTAACTCTGACTTGTTAGTGGATGATAAGATGGTTGCAAAAAAATGATGATGACAATTTCATATATTGTGTTGCTTGTAATGTCCAAGATGAGTTTAAAATCTGGAGTTATATAAAAACAACAACAATTCTATTGTCATTTTTTAAAAATTGTTATAATGTGTTAAGGTGTATTCAGCATTATTTGCAAGTAATTTGGTGCATCTACTAGCTTCACCTGGATACTACTGACTCTTGCTACTTCATATAGTACTTTATATTGCCCATTTCTTCTATGTAAATCTAGCAACCTCTTATATGCAAATATATTGCTATATCTCCCAGAAATGTAGGGTTTTATATCCCTTGTAGATCTTTTTGCTTCTTCTATACATTGTTTTGTTTTTTGAGATTTTTTTTTTTCATTCTTGCCCTCTCTTTTGAGATCTTGATGTGCTTCTTTCTTTTAGAGAGTTCCATCTTGTTCATCTTTTACTGTGCTCAGAAGATTCCTCTTCCATTGTTATGACTTCATTGGGCATTTCAGAATCCTCTTGGCCCTATTGATCATCAATAGCCATGACTATTTATTTCATAATATGTCAGTAATTCAACCAAACCCACTGTCTGTTAGTTATATTGTTCCTTGTAAAAAATAGTTCATGTAAATATTTATTGTTAATATGTATTCTGCTTTAGTTTGATATTTGTTTTATATAATTTTAAAAATCCAAAAATTAAAAGATTTTTTTGCAGTCTGTCATATGAAATATTTAATTGATTTTTCTTACAATATAGAATCACTACTTTATAATGTTATTTCCAACTAAATTCTTTATTAAACCCCTTGAAAAATATTTGCATGCTCATTCATTTCCGATACAAATTTTATATAAAGAATTTGAGAAAAGCTTGTGACAGTAAATGCTGCCAAATGAATACTCTATGTATCAGGAAGTTTTTGGGTCATCAGGATTGAATATACTTCATTTCAGGGCTTGCTTTTCAACAGATTTTACTGCATACCAGTTCTTCTCCCCCCCTCTTGCTGATGTAAGGCTCCACTATTTGACTCAACTGATTTACTGCTTGTCAATTTTTTTCACATTCTTTTTGGGATTATTTTTCTAACCAAATTTTATTCTTCGTTTTGAGCCAATGAATAAAAACCTTTTCATTTGGTGCTTGGATGTCCTCTTACACTTTATTTTTCTCTGCTTGATTCGGTGAATACTAACCATCACTGCAAGTACACAATTATGTATCCTCCACAGCCAACCTCTATAGGGCAAATGATTAAAGAACCACCCCATGTCTACATATTCCTCCATCACTTTTTCATACTGCTCTTCTTTCTAAATTCAAGATCTGTTGTTATCTCCCATTGCCAATTCAGGGTTTCATTATGCTCAATTAGTGTTCCCTGTTTTAAGAAACTTTGTTGATCAGACCAAACAAATGTGATAAAGCATCCACTTTATTACTTCTGTGCTTTCTTGCCATTGTTTATTTCATTCATCTGCTCTTTGGCAACACTATAGAGGGTATTGATTACTTCATTATACTTCCAGTGGTAACTATTCAGTGCCAGTGAGCAGTTTGTGAGGATATACATTAGCATACCAACCTTTCCACACCTGCATTTACCATTATGTTTATTTTGCAACACTAGAATTTTGGGGGAGGGAAGTACATGTTGCTCAATATTTGGACATTAATAGAAGAAAATATTATTTCCATTTGATTTCTTTTAATATAACTTTTTATTTCTTCTTTTCAGATACCTACAATGAGAGGGCAATCCAGGATGCCCTGCAGAATTTGGTGATTAAAGCAGCAACTTCGCCAATATTCTGCACACAGAGGTACTGGAATTCTATCCAGCAAAATCTGTGATTCCAAACCAAGTGCCTTGAGTCTGAATAAGCGCAAAAGAGTCTTGATCAGAAAATCCAGCAAATCTTGTTGCATGGCCAGTGCTTCTTCAATGTCAAATATAAACAGAAAAGAAAATCTGTACATAGGCTTGGGAAAGTCTGTTAGTGACACCATTGCTACCACAGCAGATCATACACATTCCCATGAGGTATGTTTTGATGCTAATCCGTAAAAACACACTTCAGCTTCATTAGGTGATTTGAACTCTTCAAAATTAGAACAGCCACTACAGATAGATGGTGCTTCACTTTCATGTAAAACTATTGGTTCTCTTGATACTTTTCACTTAAAAGGAGAAAGTTTTCTAATCTGAACTGTTATAAGCACTCAGCACCTCATCATCTGGTGATCACCACAAAAGAATCCAAACAATGCTAACAATAACAATAACAACAATAATTTTTGCAGCAATAAAATTAAAACTTGTAATGATAAAATAAACAGTGATAATTCATCTCTTCAGCACCTAAAAAAGATGGTATTACCCCCAGCCTACCCTAGTAGCCTACCCTTGTACTTCACTTCCATTACTGGATCACAGCCTGATAAAAAAGGTGGACAAAGCCTAAGGTCACCCAAATTGGTACATTGCAAAAACACTCTGAGTCATACCTTCTGCCCACAGCCAATAATGAGTTAATATCTGCAATAAGTCCTTCACAAAAAGTTCTTCCAGCAATGGAAACAGCAGTTGCCAGTGCACCATCAATCCCAACTGCTGCAGAAACAGCACATTAAGAAGCATGCAAAGCTACACAACTTGGTTTTGCAAAAATCTGCACCATTAAGAGCAATACCTCTTTTGACTTCACAGTGAAACAACAGCAGCAACGGTGTTTACACCCAACCGCCTGTGCACCGTCCACGGAAAGCAACTAACCTCTATAAGGCCAATAGGTAGGTTTCATTGCCTGCATGAAATAGCACAGTATATTCAGTGTTTAGTAAATGTTTATTTATGAGGAAATTGCATTCTAATATTTTCTGTCTTTTTCAATGTCTTATGAATTTCATATAAAATAGCATTGTTCAGAAAGAAATCTTGATTATAACTTTGTTTCTGCAAAGATATCCTTTCTAAAGAAAGATTAATTTTTGCATGACATCATTTATTGCTATCATGCAAAGATAAGTAATCTAATGCTACTATGTTCATTCTACAAATGTGTCATATCCCAATATTATTTTTTGTTTTATTATTAATTGTAATTCAACTAATAGAACTAATAATCATTATGTGTAATCATAGTACAAACTTGTTTACTCTTCTTTTGAAAATGTTCAACTCATAATCCAAGGAAAGATTTTTTATTTTTATATAACAATATGATGTTTAGTGAGCATATGATTTTTCATAGGTAAGTTATATATATATTTGGTCAGCAACCTTTCTTTTAAACCTCTTTCATTAAATATGGTAGACAAGGAAGATTTAATTAATTTTTTATTTAGTTTTTCCAGCATCCTTATGGTTTTTCCATTTTTTGTAGGAGTAAGAGAAAACAGATATTTTCCATAATTTTCATTGTTCCAATCACTTTTGGCCACTTCTTTGACCATTTTCAAGGGGATTTTATTTTTGCTGTTGTTAGTTTATACTCATGTTTTGACTGTATAAGTCATATTTTATTTTTGTGGTGTTTTGAATAGGAGCATTTATCGAAAACCTTCACATGTTGAGCATGGATGGAATAACAAAAGCCCCTTAAAAATGGCTAAAGAAGTGGCCGAAAGTGCTTGGGACAATGAAAATTGTGGAAAATTTTTGTACTTCCTTACTCCTACAAAATGGAAAAATGTAAGAATGCTGGAAAAACTAATTAAAAAACAAATTAAATCTTCTTTGTCTACTATATTTAATGAAATATATATATATATATATATATATATATATATATATATATATATATATATATTTTCATTAAATATAGACAAGTGTTGTTTTTATTTTATGTAAATTCTTTTCATAATGTCTGATAAGTTTAATAACATTATCATTAAACGAAGAAAGAAAATCACAATATTGATCCATATTTTTAATCCAATCTAAGCTTTTGGCTTACATAAGCCATTATCAAAGATGACAATTACATTAAGTATTGTATTAAGCAATACACGGACAAGAATGTGATGATAGTCTGTTTCTGCTTACATGGATGATTTCCAAACAACGATAGACATGCGTGCATATAAGATGCTGGAAGCGAAAATCGCACCGCAAGCTCATGATGTCACACATGACCACTGTGAGAGTGAATTTGAGAAGTATTAAGTATGGGAAACCATTGGTATAAACCAATGGCTTCTGTTACCAATTATAGACATTTAAGGATATTTGTGGAGATTTCATAGTTTATTTTGTTTAGGTTAGGTTTCAACTGTTTTATGTATATAGCTTCAAGAATTTTTAGTTTTTGTTTGTTGTTTTCATGTTTAAGTATAATTGTGTTTTTTGACAAGGATTTTCTGGAATTGTGTGCAGACAGGCATGTTGTTTTAAATGCTTAAAAATGTTAGAGTTTTCATTCAAATGTAGTGTCAAGCATCATGAAAGCGAGTTTGTCGTGTGACCAACATAAATATTATTTAATTCATTGGAGATACAATCTCCCAAAGGGCACTTGAATTTGTAAACTATGTTGGTTTCTTGCAAATTGCTAATGAGGGGAGAAGAATCATTGCAAAGAATTAAGTTGGATATAATAAATTTAGTGTAGTATATGATTAACTTAATTTTTTTTTTGCTAGGATCTGTTGTTGATATATTAGTATTTACTAAATTTTTAGTATATTTTCACCTTTTTATAATTAGTATGCATTTGATTACGATATAGGAGATTAATATGTTTGAGATTAGTAGAAGCAGTATTATGTACTATTTGCTTAGTATTGAGATTTCTAAGAAAGCATCTTATTTGTTCATCAACTATATAGTTTGGAAAGCTATTATTAATAAGTGTTTGTTTTATATTCTTTAGTTTACTGTAAAAAATCTGTTTTGTGGATGAATTAGTTTCTGCACGATGTATTAGATTCTTTATAATTGCTATTGAATTTATGCTCGTAGGTTTTTTGTATGGCGAAATAGTAAATTTGTAATTATTTGTGTTTATCAATATGTCAAGGAAGGGGATTTTATTATTAGTATTGAGTTCATATGTGAATTTAAGGACAGAATTATTTTGGAACCGTTTTTGAATTTGAATTATTTCATCTGTATTTTTAATTAGCATAAGAATATCATCAACATTATCTTAGGTAGATTGATGGTTTTTTTAAAATCTGTAAATATCTTATTTTCAAGGTTCGACATATAGAAATTACTAAATGTCAGACCATAAAAACTGAACCTATGGAACACCATCACATTATATATATATATATATTATTATGATCGAAGAAAGGGACTTCAGTAGTACAAGCTAATAGTAGTTTCCATAATATATTTGGATTAATTTTAAGTGGGGGTAAAATGAGTTACTGTATATATTTCTTATAATTATGTCAATAGTTTCACTAACAGGGACATTGGTAAATAAATTTTCAACATCAAGTGAAGCTATGATTTCATTGTCGGGTTTTTCTTTTTAGGATTTGGATTACTTCTAATGTTGACTTAACACTATATTTACTAGGAAGGTGAGAGTAATGAGTTGGTTAATGTATTTTGTTAGATGATATACAGGAGTTGGAATTTGCGATATGATAGGACGGAGAGAATAGTTAGGTTTATGTGTTTTTTTATAGTGCCGTATATGTAACCAGGTCTATAATCAATTTTAGGGAGTTTTAAAGAGTTCTGTTCAGCATTATTAGCATTAATAAGTTTATTAAACTTTGATTTTAGTTGGTTGGTCGGGTTCTTGTTGAGTTTTTAAAACTTTGTGATCATGGAGTCACGTTTTTTGTTTTAATCCAATTTGTTTAGGATGACAAAAATGTTGGTCTTCTCAGCTTTTTTTACGATAATGTTGGGGTGGTTGCGTAGTTCTTATGCAGCAATTTTCAGTTGTTTAGAAAGTATTTTTGAAGAGTTTCTGCTTTTATCATGCCGATCCTTGAATGCCTCGGCCTTAAGTAAGTCTTTAAATTCTGGTGTAGTTTCTATTAGTTGTTCATCCTGGAGTTTAACAATGTTTTGGTATAGGGTCTCAATTTCTATTTTTTTAAAAAGTCGATTGTACTTATGGTATATATGGCAGTTAGGTCCCAGGCTAAGTAATTCTTTTTGGTGCTTAGTTCGTAGTTGGAAAGGTTTATACCAACAGCTTCCCATACTTAATACTTCTTGAATTCACTCTCGCGTGGTCATGTATGATGTCATGAGCTGCGGTGCAATTTTTGCTTCCAGCGTCTTATATGCACGTGTCTATCATTGCTTGGAAATCATCCATGCAAACAGAAACAGGCTATCATCACATTCTTGTCCGTGTATTGCTTAATATATTGTACAGTAATTGTCATCTTTGATAATGGCTTATGTAAGCCAAAAGCTTAGATTGGATTAAAAAATATGGATCAATATTGTGATTTTCTTTCTTCGTTTAATGATAATGTTATTAAGCTTATCAGACGTTATGAAAAGAATTTACATAAAATAAATAAACAACACTTGTCTATATTATTTAATGAAACATGTATGAATGAAAAAATGCTGCCTAAATACACACAAATATATATATATATATATATATATATATTTAAAATGGAATTAAAATTACTAAAAATGAAATTAAAATAATGTACTTACAAAATATAATGTTGATAGTTATAAGAAATAAAAGATTAAGAAATTCATTAATTGCTTAAAAATTACTGTGTCTTGGATACAAAAATCAAGTTAGCAGATATAGGCTTTGAATGATTTGATTGAGAGATGAACATTTCTTAAATAGGGTAATTGAATTTTGCTTTATGTTGATGATTTCCCATGATCTAATTGATAAGGAAACTTCGCT